TTGTGTGGATCATTCATTGCCCATTGTGTTTCTGACATTTTCTTTTCCTCTAGGCTGACTGGAATATTAGTTGTTGTCAGCTACGATGGGGGACTATGTTGAGGTACAGATCACCCCAGAGACTCCAGGCAGGCCTTCAATTAGAAACCCCTTTGAAAGTCCTAATGACTACCACCACCTCCGTGAAGCCCTGGTGCCAAGCCCATCCGTCTTCAAGTCTTGCAAAGCTGTAAGTTTGAACACACCTCACACCTATCACTTCAAATCTGTTGGACATACTACTGTGTGACACATTCACAGACACACATCTTTTACTGCAAATGCTTAAATTCTTTGTCCACAAGTATTGTGCAACTGAAGGGTGTATTTTGTATTTGATTCACTTCCCCTCCTCTGTCTCTCCACCAGACTCCTCCCAAGTTTAACTGGTCTATTGATGAAATGGCCAGTCTTCTCCCTGTACACATAGACCCAGAGGAAATCCAGCGACAGTCTTTTTACCTCAGCCAGACAAGGTATGTACTGAAACGCACTTTCTGTAGTAGATATGTAAGTAATAAGGATGACATTGTGAATTGCTTGAGGGGGGTAAAAACAAAGTAATAGTGCGGCTTTACTTAACTATCCATCTGGATGTATTAGTGAGAGTGACAATTAATGATGGCAGGAAATTTAAGTGACAAAAATGTTTCTATCAAACATCTAGAATGGATTCTGACATCGAGGAAAAGCGGCAGAATGCTATTGAGCAGGTATGGTATTCTAATTCAAACCTAATTATGTTGTGTAATGATATAGAAGTTAATATATTGATTTATAGATTGATTTTTGTCACTGTCTGTCTCCCAATGAAGTTTTTCACTAAAGGAACCATTGTGCCTTCCCCCTGGGCAGCCCCAGACACCCGTAAAGGCCCTCAGATCTATACTAAAAGTGAGTTTTCTTATTGTTTACCTTTTAACACCTTAAAGTCTTTTATAGTCCCTCTCGTATTTGCCTTTTTAAATCTAATGTTGTAGTCTGGTTTTGTACATTATTTAAGCATTGTAATGTTCATGTTACTGTATTGTGTCTTTACACTTGTAGGTTGTATGTCTGCAATGATTGTAGAGGAGCCAGAAAAAATCTCCGGTTGGTGTTGTTTTTTGACTGGGTTTGAAATTACTTTTTACAAATTATGTTATATATTATCTCTTCTTTCTACTAATTTGTTTTTGATCTCTTGTTTTCCAGTTGCTTGTCAGACAAATCTTTCGTTACCTTTGGCTTTTGATTTGGAGAAAGTACTAGGTAAGCTTCGAATAAATGCTAACACTATCAAATCAGAGAAGGTTGTTATGACAGAGTATTTTACCATCAAGTAACCGTTTTTATCTGTCTGTTCCTTCCCTCTCTTTAGGGGATTATTACCGCCATGAGGAAGCGTGTGCTGCTGTGCAGGAGAGTCTCAGTTCGTCCTCCTTAAGACGAAAACTCTTCCTTGATGGCCAGGGCAGTTACAGCGGCTCTGACAGCTCCAGCCCACCAAGCCCAGAGAGAAGCCATGCCAGGCAGGAGAGGCCTCCTCTAAACCAAGGAGAAGAAGCTGTAGGAGGGATTGAAGCTATATCTTCTATCTTTTCCTCCCCTTTGTCCAGTGGCGTGGTAGCTCCTACTCCGTCTACGGTGAGTGTGTGGATACAGATGTTGGTTATTTTGCCATATGATTGGTGTGGATGTATCTTTTTTGACATTATGGAATGTGCATTTGTAATGTTTTTCTCTTGGAGCATGCCATGTAATCAGAGGTGGACTGTTACTGTACTTAAGTTGTTTTTCATCTGTACTTTACTCTGACAACTTCTTACTTTTACCCCCTGCATTTTTAAATAAACATCTGTATTTTATACTTCTTAGATTTTCAAAACAGGCTCGTTACTTCAGTTTGAATGCATTTGAGGGGACTTATCGATTATTATTTTTTTGCATCATTGCACACATTCCCAACATCAAGACTGGTGCATATAAAGCATGACAGACCTAACATGACCAAAACAAACTATTTGTGACTTCCGTTAGCTTTGCACATAAGCAGCCGGTAGAAATGTCCTTTAGAGAAACCAAGAGAGGATCTTTGAGTACATTTCAGAGCCTGTACTTTAACTTTTACCTGAGTAAAGAAGTTGAATCAGTACTTCTGCTTGACTAAAGAATGTGTGTACTTTTGCCACCTTTTGCATGTAATGCATCTTTTAAATTAGCAACCGATTTAGCAACGGTGCCGGAAGTCTCTGAACCGGCAATTAGCAAATGTTTGTGGTTTTTACTTGGAATCCATAATCCATCCTCTGTTTACTAATCTTTTCATCACTAGAGTGCTGTACATTTCTCAAAAGCAGTAACGTAACCTAACAACTAACAGTTTTGCTTAAAGTGATTTTTTTTTCTCAGTTGCAGGTTTTTCCTTTTTGTATTTGGATCAAGCTGTTTATTATTAGTTAAATGAACACTTATGCTGTATTTGCATTGTATTAACTATAGGGTCAGTTCTCGTCCAGTCCCATCCAGCATGGCTGCTTCCGGGACTGCAGCCTTGGCAGCATCACCAGTCCTAGGTTCCCTGATAGGTCGTCTCCTGCGGGCCTCGTCTCCCCCACAATTTCTCCTATTGTTGCACATGCAGCATGCACACCCATAGGCTCAGGTAAACTATTTGTTTTATAAAATAAAGTAGAATTAATTTTAAAAAAAGTTTTAATATTGTAGACAGTGTGGTGATGTTTCTCTTCAAAACTGAATCTAAATCTTTCTTTAGCTGAGAGGAAGCAGACGAGGAATTTGACTCCAAGTGGTGGTGCCCTGGACATAGATGTCACTTCGTGCAATGAGAGCCCGTTTGTCGAGGGTTGCTCTCCCATTCGTAGCTGCTCCCCGCACCAGCTCCACTGTCACAGTGAGCCTCAGCACAATGCCAGACCCAAGCCCCGGCCCAGAGTTCGCTGCTGGGCCTCCCCTCCTCTCATCTCCCCGATCCTCAATCCCAGGCTCCAAGATAATCAGGAGACTGAAGAACCACTGTCCTCTTCCTCCTCCTCATCATCATCTTCTCTCCCCCCTATGGAGCTGGATCCATCCTCACCCATGGCCCGCAACACTCACCCTGCTGACACTGAGAGAGTTAGCCTGGATCCTATGGAACCTGTGAAAATGGAGGAGGACAAGGAGACGGGGATAGAAGGAAGGTTGGAGGATGAGGAGTATGAAGAAGAGGAAGGTGGAGGGCCTTTGGGACAGCTGACCAGCTCTCGTATGGGCAACGCGTCAGTAACAGAAAGCTCTCGTATGTTTTTATCTCTTCTGGCAGAGGGAAGCAGCATACGCTACGATTCCAGCATGCAGGTTTGTGTGAGGCTGACCGATTTTTTATTTCACTTTGTATTTAACTTACTCTTATTTGAACTAATTAATTTCATATGGATATGTTTGTCTAATGGAATATTAGTAACGGATTGCTTTTTTTGTACGTGTTCAGGTGGACAGCGGGTACAACACTACCTCAGCAGGCACTGCCAGTCTTATAGATGGCCTCAGCTCAGACTGTTACAGCAAAGAGTCCTTCAGTTCAAACCTGGCAGAAGAAGCCTTACAAGTCACTCGACACACTAAAGTAAAGGTACGGTTAAACCTTCACACACAAATACAGGGCTGTGGATTTACTATAATAGATAAGTCACAAACTCGCATTAGCACTTACTGACAGTATTATGCATGCGGCAAGGCCATGTAAGTTTCTTTTAGTTTCCTTTTCATCTTGCTAAAATTAAGCTTCTTATTTTCCAGGTATTTTATCCTCACCACTGAGCCATCTGACTGATGAATTTAAAGGGACACCTCTTCCAGTGGAAGCTGAAGATGATTTTTTTTGCAATCAAATACAAATCGTTTACACTATGTCTGAAGCATTTATGTCGGATCTATTTGGTTAAGATGAATGGGGTTGAATGTTTAAATGAAGTATGAACAGAACTGAGGGGGTTTCACAAGTTGTTATTGGTTCTTTTTTTTAAGGTTTAAAGTTCAAGTTGCCTGACTAAAGCAAATGCTCTACCATAGTATGTTTTATCACAGGTTATAAGGGATAAGACTAACCCATAGTCCCACTGTAAGATGCCGAAAAGCTATAATTCAAAGTCAACAGCTCTTTTGGAGCCAGTATACTGGTGCGATAAGGGGGGAGAAAAAAATGACAATTCTGTATTAAACTTGCACAACATTAACCTTGAATGCTGTATTGATGCTAATGCCATCATTTCAATTTATTTGGTGCTGACATGATCGACCTAATAGACTTTCAGATGACATCAGATTTGTACTGTATTTATGTTTTTATAAAACTGTTTATCATGATGTTTTAAAATGAGCTTTTTTGTTTGAGTAAGAAAATTCAGGTTACTTGTGGATTATTTCGGTTGTTAGAATATTTATTCTGGAATAAGACACAGAATAATGCCACTAGTGAATTAAAAGCTGATTGAGCCATTTGTTTACCATTTTATGATACACTTTAAGCATGGGCTGGATTGTCACATTAAATTAAGTTGAACTCTTTGTCTGGCTGGGGAAGACTTTATTTTTGAGTTGGGTGTTTCTACAATGTCTATTTTCAGTATTTTTGACTAGTTTGGTCAAGATTAGACTAGACTAGAACAATATTCAGGATCAAGCATCCAATAATTCAGTAACATTGATTATTGCTCTAATTGTATTGCGGCAATTCTTGTTATTGGGATACACAGTACAATTTTTCATATTTATAGAATTTTGGTCTAAGATTAAATCCTTTAATGTAGAATTTTAAATACTTAAATCTATTCATTTTGTAATTTTTTTTGAAAATTTGGGTTGACAAACAAGGCTGTAGACAACTTGTTTTTGTCAGTGTTGCGAATAATTTTCTGTACAAGTAATTTTACAGATTAAAGATTCATGCTGGGCCTACAGAACACACACAACCAAATGAGTAAAAAAAAACACTTTAATGATTGAGTCACTTACTACACTGTTATTTGACAGGTTACACAGCCAGACAGTCTGTTGCACCTATCCATGCTTATGTACCAACAAGTGTTTGATGTAATGTAATGTAAAATGAGCGGAGGGGTGCATGTGAGATTAGAGCAGTGAAGCTTCACTGTGGTAGATTTACTAAAATGGACACAAAGTATAACAGGTAACTGTGTCAATGCATCAACCGGCCCAAACTGGTTCTTTTATAGACTTTTACAATTTGTTGATCTGGATGATCAGCTGGTGGTTCAGGTGAAATTTTGTGCTGCTTTCTGTGTCAGCGGTCCAGTTTTGGTTTCTTGGCCTGTGGTTCAACATCTGGGGCTGGAACACTCACTCCAGGGATCTAAAATAAAGACAATTAAACAAAATGCTGGCAATTTTGAACACATTCTCCTATTAGGACTAATGTTAACATTCCTCAATCAAACCTAAATAATGCAAGGCGTTAGTTGAAGCACAAAACAGGAGAAGAAAATGTAACATGGGCTGTTTGATAGTCAAACCCCATGTTGAGGGGAGTCATTCCTTACCACAGGGTCAATCAGAGCCATGCGGATCTTCTGGTGCTGAATATTGGAGGCGTCTAGGCTGATGGTGACCTTCACCTTGTCAAATATGCAGAAATTGTGCTGCTCTACCTTCAGAGTGGGACCCTAAAACACATACAGAAGAGATCTTTTAGGCACCCTCGTCTGATGGTTTTAGTTTTTCAGTATTGATAGAATCATCTATAAAAGAATAACTTGTCATCATACCTCTTCATCAAAAACCAGGTTTGGAGCCGCCTTGTCTTTGGTGTCAAAGAAGACTGTTCCCTCCAGACCAAACTTTGGGATGAGTACAATGATTGCATTTTTCCTCACAAACAGAACATATCCCGCTTCGTTCAGTATGCCTCGGCTCTTGAAGAACAACTGGAAAGAGATAATTGGTTTTAAAAGCATGAATTTGCATCGAATATGCAGTATCATATGGGGTCTGTTTTTACTTAAACCAAGGGTGCATGGGGTTATAAATGGACATTATACCAATTCTCACTTTAGGTCAGTCAAAACTTGAATTATGCTGGTTAAGCACAGTGGGTTTTTTATGTCTAAGTTCACTGAAATCAAAGAATGTGTCCATATGCGTTTACCTGTGTGTGGAAGGCCACAGATGCCCTCTGTGCATACTGAGACATTTTATGTCTGTAGTTGAGGTTGTTGGCAAGGGCCGATTGCTTATGTTTGTCCATCAAATCTGGGTAGGTGCTGTCAGCTGCTATGGCCACTGCCAGCAGGCGGTGTACTATAATATCTGCATACCTGTGTAGGAGAGCAGATGAACAGGATGGAGGGGGAGGAAGTGGAGGTTTAAGAGAGCAAAAGGATGCAATGTGGATGACATAAGGAGGTTAGAAAGAACTGAGGTGCAGTAGTTTGTCAATTGCGAACACTTCTTTGTTATTAAGAAACCAATATATATGTAGAATATCTGTTTTCATACCTCCTAATAGGTGATGTGAAGTGTGTATAAATGGGTGAAGCAAGGCCGTAGTGGTGGAAATCGCTGTCCATGCCAGAACAAAAATAGACAGCTTGCATCATGCAGCGAGTGGCCAAGATGCGCAGTAGCGTGTTAAAGTACGGGAAGCCGTCCACTTTGGCCCCGTCAAGGGAGTCGGCCAGTGCCTTGGCCGAATCTGTGTGGATCTCCACATTCTGATAAGAAAGGGAAAGGTTGACACATTAAGATATATTTATAGTAGGAATCATGAGCCTGGTTGTTTTTATCATGGATGGCAGTTTTTGTACTTTATTAGTCTACTGCAGTGATTCTAAAGCTACTGCTAATTAACAACAACATCCGCCATTCATAACACAGCAAACTAATTAAATTAGCTCAAGAAACAAGCATATAACTTGAAAACCAAAGCAATTTTTCTGCATCTGTATGCACTCACCTTGGACTTTGCAGCCTTGAGCAGGATGTCGTAGTTAGATGGAGGTGGTGCTGGATGTTTTCTCAGCATGGCACAATCTGGAAATTCATCATAAATCTTCTGGGCAACGGAAATATTGGCCAGCAACATGAACTCCTCTACCATGGAGTTTGTCTCCCTAATAACCAAGACATGGGTTTATTACACGTGTCCCACAGCATGACACACACAGAAACACAGAAATTGCTTTTTGTGGAGAAAAAGGGTTTTAAAAAGGATTCTACAGAATACTCCTTCTTCTACCTACATGAGTTCTTTGGTTTGGAGGTCAATGGGGTCGTGGGTTTCACTGTCAATGTGGAAACGGACCTCTAAGGATGACAGCGTCAGCGCCCTGAAAGATATCAAATGTGGCACAAAACACCATTCATGTTAAATACAGTTAGTTTAAATATATAGCAGTTATAAGAGTTATAATTAACTACTAAACTAATGCTCCTGATTCTGTTCTTTTATCTCATAACTCCTTTTCCAAATGCTTTGGTTTTGTATTTTAAGATGAAATGCATGTTTGCCAGTCCTTACCCTTTCTCTATCCTCTGCCTCTTGAGGATTTTGGCTAGTTTGTTGAGACCTCGAAGACTCTGAGTGATATCGTCATTCATGGTGGTGTCATCAATCCTCATTTGGGCCTCAGCGTAGGTCAAAGATGCCTAAACCAGATTGAACGGTAGAGGGGAAGAAAAGGAGACCATAAAATCATGTTTGAAAATATCTTGACCTGTAACTTTGTGTCTTACAAATAGATAATAAAACCATGTGGTAGTAGGATAAGTTGCAGGGCATTTAATTCATACATCATTGCAAAAACACTGAGGATAATGTATATTTTCTGTCATTGTACGTCATACGTTGTTACAATACCTTGGAGTTAATGACACTTTTTGTGAACCGGGTCTTTAGAATTTCAGCCTTGTCGTTCATCTCCCAGATACACGAGAAAGCCATCCTGGTAGAACAAAACCCCAAAGAGAATCAAAGCATTTTCATTGCATTCAGTTCACCTCATCTGGAATGGCAAACATCTATAATCAATTTACTCACTGCAATGTTTTGGGAAAAGAAGGAGCATTGATGATATTGATTATTGTGTGAGTGCTAGTGTATATATGTATCGCTGTCTCCTTACCTTTCCACATTGGAGCGTAGAGAACAAAGATTGGAGCTGAGCAGCTCAGGAACCATATCTATCCTCTGATGGAAACAAAATGAATCAGGTTAATTAATCAAATTCAAAAAAATTGTCACAATATCCAGAATTTCAAGAAAACCTGAATTCTTAAATACATTTTAGTAAACATTCAATACTGTCACCAAATGTGTTTGGCAACTTCAGCATATATTCAAAGATAAAAAAGAGAGGAAAGGAAAGAGACATTCTCTGTTCACCTTAACAGCAAACAACCTTTTCCAAATATAAAGTCAAAGGGTTTGTGGAGTCTTGTGAAATGTTGGTAGTGACGTGTTATGATGCTGTTCGGATGAGAGTGCAAGTGTTTTTCCTTACTTTGCCACACAAGTAGACAGTGGTGCCGCGGTTCGCAGCCTCTTTGTCCATAGCGTTGCCAGGTCTGATGAAGTGACTGACATCAGCAATGTGGACGCCCACCTACAGTAAGCAAATAAAATACTCTGAAATATAGACACAAATAACTTACTAATGTTACTTTATAGTTAACGTACGATAGGTGTACCTCAAGGTTTCCATTGTCCAGCTCTCTACAGTGAAGGGCATCATCAATGTCTGTACATCCTGGAGGATCCACACTGCACACCGTCAGATGCCTCAGGTCCTCTCTCTTCACCATGTCCTGTACCACACACATCCACATTAACATATACACAGACCTACACGTACGTGTTCTCAAATTATAGGTTGAGAGAGCCACTGATAAATGATCAGCAAAACTAATATACTCCTCAGTGTATCTCAAGAAAAGCTGTTTCTACCTCTGGTGTGATGGCCCACGGCATCTTGGGAAGGAAACTGAGCACAGCCTGAGAGAAGTCTTGGTGGGGAACATCATGCTCCAGTAGCAGCACTTCCTGCTCTGTGTCCTTCTCCCCTGCACTTCCCAGACTGCGCACAAAGTGACCCTAACAAAGAGGGGGAAAAAAGTTTTTTGTGCATATTATTACATGTAATGCTAAGGAATTGTGGTGTCATATAAATGTAGAAACCAATCCAATTTCCTGTCAAACTTTGGCATGTGGATATGTAACCCCTTATACTAGGATATCAAAGTTCCAGGGATTTTACTGTCTGTGGAGGTTCCAACTCACATTTGGATATCTGGAGTGTTTGGGCCAGCCATCGATGGCCACCATGATCCTCTGGCCTGCCAGTGTGGATGACTGACGTGTTTCAATGCGAATGCGAGGGATACGGCGGTCTGCTGGGGTGAAAAGATGGCGAGTCGACTGAATGAACAACGAAAGAAAAGGGGGGGTCAGTGCTGAGGGTAAGAGACGAGGGAGTGCCAGACAGATGTAAGTAAAAATGCATGTAAAACTTGAGGATGACTTCAAATTTTCAAACCAGGCAAAATGAAATAGAGCAGTCGAGATGTACCTCTTTAATCTGGGAGGCATTGAGCATGCCACAGTATGGCCTCCAGCTCCTTTTGATGATTCCCACTATTTTGCCTGTGGGCTTGCTGGCTGCTTCAGCTGCCGATATCCTCAACTGCTCAGACACACAGGAACACGGAGGTCATTAAGATATTGTAGCTGTGAAATCTTTTGTGTAGCACAGCACCTGGATAGTGTTCATCCACACCAAAACATACCCCGTTGAATCTGATTTTGACTATAAAAGGGGAAACAACACACACCCTGTATGCATCCTGTACGCAAAGACAAAGTCAATCTAATCAAAAATCCAAATTCACCGCTTTCTCCTCCTCCTCCTCTTCAGCATCATCGTCCTTTGCTGTGCCTTCATCCTGCAGCACGACTGCAGAGGGCGCCACCCACTGATTCCGTGGCAACAGCTGTACGGCAACCACATCCTGGTGCACTGCTCTGTTGAGGTTCTGAAGACCCTGAATGAGAACCTGGCAGCGGGCCGAAGGGACAGTACAGGACTGTTAACAAATACTGGACCTTTACTATTTCTGACAGTTAGTTAACTTCTAATAATTCCTCTAACTGGAAATGTACATCTCAACACCCAAAACACACATTTTCAAACCCAGATGAGGTCAGGACGATCATTAATTCCAGAGCTTGTATAATTGTTCAAACCCTAAAACATTGTACATTCATCGAGGAAAGGGACACACACACACACACACACACACACACCTCAGTGCTGTCTTCCCCCTCTCCCTGGACAAAGACTGTGGCCTCCAGATAGTTGTCCCTGCTGGCCCTAAAGGAGCCCTGGAGGAAGGAGCCACTCTTAATTCCTGCTTGGATCCTGGATAGAGGGAGGTGCTCTGGGAATAACACCTTACTGCTAGTGATCTCATTCTGAGGGGAGGAAAGGAAAACAAATCAATGGAAGAAGAAAAGAAAGAGAATGTTGTCCTGTAGCGTTTGGGAAGGCAGGGGTGTAAACAGGACATACAGATAGAAATTCTACCTACAATCTCACTTAACCTAAAATACCTTTTATTTCTACATGTAAATAGGACAAAATTGTGTTTACCTTGTCGTCACTGGATAAAGCCAGACGATCCACAAGCTCAGGGTTTGCAATCAGACTCTTGATGTACTCTTCACCTAGAATGTAAGCCAATAAATGCTTGTAAGAAAGTGGTAACGACAGACGATCCTGTTTTGAAAGCATACTTGTATCCAAGAGAACTTATTGAGGAGCTCTTGGTAGACTCATACTTGCTGAACAATGGATTATGGTTAAATCAGAGATCACTTACAACAATGTTTTTGGGAGCTGTGCTGTTGATACGCAGAGCTTTTTAAACGGATCTGTACTGCCTCTGATACTGAACATAGACCACATACATTTGTACACCAGCAGGCTGCTCTCCTCTGCCTTCTGCGTGTTCCCTTGGTCATTGGTGAGTAGGACCACTTTGAGCCCTTCTGCGTCGGACTCGGACGTCTTCAGGTGCTGGCTGTACCATTTGGTGGCCACACGGATCGCACGGTCGTTACGGTCATTGGCGCTCTCTCCCGGTTCCCGTTCAATGAATGTATCTCTGTGTGTGTGTGTGTAATGGAAGATGATTAGTAACTTCATGTGCAACTGACCCATGTATTCCATCACTGATTACTTTTACATGCTAAAAAAAAAGCAGTGGTGTCTCTGTACCTGTGGTGTTCGTTGGTAAAGGTGTAGAAGTGTTTCTCTTTCTCATGTATAATGTCCTTCAGGCGCTTATAGACGGGTGCGCTGCGGTGGCGTACCTCCTGCAGCACAGTCTGCAGGATAATAACATTACGTATCACAGGGTCTTCCAGCACGTCGATCTGAAATGATTGCACTTTTAGGATTAAGACCTCAAAACGCTTTCTCGTTTGAGCAAAACGTACGACATTTGTTACCCAGGGGGAAATGGGGAACGTACCTGATGCAGCACCACGTTGGTGTCAGGGATCAGATAATGTGGGTAAGTGCACAGGTTACTCTCGATACACGCGTCCCTCTGGAGCACCGCGGACTCCTGTTTGCATTCAGCGCAAACTTCGCTTCCGCACCAAATGTCATCTCTCAGGTAATGCTCGCGCACTATCTTCATCACCCCACCCGACCGAGTCTTCTTCACGAAGGTTTTAGATTTCAACATTATGAAGATAAAAGCCTGAGTAGGTTAAATCCCGATGGTTTATCCTAACATCTGACGGTAAGCAAACCGTTAGCTACCCATGTGTAAGCTAAATCTGTGGGCCGACAAAACGTTCCCAGAGTTTTGGTAAATACGTGAAATTGGATTTCAGGTGTTTGTTTTCAATCGGTGAGGTTTTTCCTTTATGTTTACATCTATTTAGAAACTATGAAGAATAATAATACACAAGTTGCGCATAAAGACACAAAGACATTTCATGGGTTTTTATATATAAAATCATTTAAAACCCCGTGTTTGATTTTGGTCGGCCTTCTAATGCTTGTTCAATGAAAACAAAGCAGACGAAGGCAGAAGAAGATCGGGCTCATAAGAACTTCTGAATTGCACAGCGACGCCTATGTGCAGGAGGCGGTACTGCATGACCAGCGCATTCTAACGAACTACAGCCAAATGGGCGTTGCTTGTAGTACACGCTCATTGCCGGGGGGGGGGCGCTGTAATCACGGCCACTCACACACCATTGTACTAGAGCCGTTGGCGGTTAGCAGGCGGCTCGGAGCGGGACCCTTAAACATAAAAACAGCTCACCGTGTGCTCTTGTCAGCTCCGGGATGACACCTTACTAACCTAACTCTGTATTAAGGTTATTTTCTTGAATATGAGTGCGCTGGCAGTGTGTTTTAAACGGTATAGCTAGCTAGACCGGTGCTCAGTTAGGATTTGTTTTCGGTTCTCTTGGCTACAAACTAACTTAACGTTAAAGTATCACATATCGCGATGCCCGTGAACTCTTGATTAACTACGTTACTCTCTAATCTCATGTAATCTGGCTCTCTCGCCCTTGCTAGTCAACCTTAGCTAGCAAAAAAAAAAGAGGACACAAAGTCAGGACAACAACAACACAAAATGCCTCCCAAGAAGCAACATCTGAAGCCGACGGCAGCCAACGTCTCCAGCTCCCTGGACCTGGAGTCGGAGGACATCAGCCTGGAGACGACCGTGCCGACCACGGAGGATGTCTCGTCGTCCGACGAGCAGCGGGACGGCTCCCAGAAGGTGACCCGCCAGCTGATCGAGAGGAAGGAGCTGCTGCACAACGTCCAGCTTCTGAAAATCGAGCTTTCTCAGAAAAACCTCATCATAGACAACATGAAGGCCGACCATATGTCCAAGGTAAGAAGGGGGGAGGCATGTTTGTAAAGACTGAGGAATGGGCAGTGTTTATAGGAGCACAATAACATATAAACACCGTCCATATCATGCAGTAACATTATGAGAGGTTGTTTTTTATGTTTCAGATTGAGGAGTTGGAGGAGAGGCTGAATGATGCTCTGCACCAGAAACAAGTGTTTGCCCTGAGACTGGACAGTCAGCTGAAACTAGCTCAAGAGGAGAACAGGTGAGGAAAGTGGGGCGGTGGTCGACAGTGACATGTACTGTAGGAAAACTGCCATGCCATGGTGATGGTTGATTTATCTGTTGTCTTTTAGAAAGTCAGTACATCGATGCAGATATACCAATATCTGATCTGGTTTTTGTGTTGGAATATATCTTCAAAAAAGAAACTTCAGTATCTGCAGTCGATGACTTTGACCAAGTCAAACACAATTAAGAACAAACGCTGAGGAAGGCAGAGCTAGCAATGATTAAAACTTACTTTTATTTGAAGCATAAAAAAAGGTTGTAACCACGGTAACTCTACCTGTATTATCATGAGCAGTGCTAACAAACATTGTCACCACCAGGAAGCAGCAGGCTCTGCGTAAGCAAGAGATGGAGGCCATCCTGCTCAGGCAGCAGCAGCTAGAGGAGACCAACAGACAGCTGTGTGAGAAGGCTGGAGAGCTGCGGTGGTCTCTCAGGGATCTGGACATCTCCCAGGAAAGGTACCGGGAGCTACGTGACCTCCCTGACGACAAAATCTCCATACAGGAGTACGTAGCTGTAAGTATGGGGGAGCTCTCCCTAACATGTACACCCAGCCTGTTGAACCGCACCGATGGTGACCAGAGGGACGGGGTACGGTGACCGTTTCTGTGTGCTGTGTGTTTAGATGCGTTTTTATGAGGCGGTGACTCCTCTGCGGACTCAGCTAAATGAGCTCACTGTGAAGAGAGGCAGTTTGAACGAAGAGCTGGATACACACAGAACTCAGATGAAGGCTTTGATGGAGGTACCACACACACACACACACACACACACACACACACACACACACACACACATAAGCTTGTAGTACACCTCTATTGTATCTTATTTATGCATTATTGCATCGTATTCTTCATGTTTTATCAAAAATGTTCTATTTATTCCTCTTTCATCTCTGTTCAGATCATAGACGGTGTACTGTATGAAGTTCAGATAAACACAACTGCTGAACTTTGCTGAGCTTTTTCTAACCTTTTCATGTGTTGAGGAACACACATATAATACACATGTTTAAATGCATATTTTCTTTTAAGTTTCTTTCTTTAAACTCTCAAGAACAAACTCACTCTAAACAAACACTCACTCCTGCAGGCTTTCAGTCATGGAAAGCACAGACATGAAGAATGTGGAGAGAGTCAGTTAGCTTTAAACTAAGTGTGAAAATGGGGAAGACACGTGATTTAAGCCACCTAAACCATGTTACAGCGTCTTTGAACTGCTCGTTTTCACAGCGTACAGAACAGAATGAGAGAGGTTTGACTTAAGGGTCGTCCACACCAAGAACAATAATTATAACAATGAGTATAAATATATCTTTTAAACAATTGTTCTAACTCAAGTGGATAGTGGGATCCACACCACAACTATAAGCGCTGAACAATATCGTTGGGATCACTTTCTTTAGATGACTGGATGAATGTGTCTCAAACTCATAATGGACACTGTGTTACTTACACATCAAGTCTTAGTGTTTTTATGTTTTTTTTTTTTCAATTTAAAAAAATGAAATAACCTGCTTACCACGTAGCTTTTATGCTGGTGGTTGTGATTCTGTGTCTGGTACATCTGTTCATATCAATACCCAAATATCCAATTAAAAAAACACAGTATGTGCTGGGTATTTAAGAATGCATTGAGGAGTCATAAAATGTCATAAAATATGACTAATTTGTAACATTTGTCGCAGAAATTAAAATCCAAGCAGTGATTTGATGTGTGTGGCATGAAGGAGCTACAAAACTTTAATTTTTATTAATACATTTCCTTAATTTCTTTATTAAATGCTGCAAATTATACATAAAAAATCCAAAGTATGAACAAATTTTGTCCTCAAACGACAGCAACTCTCATAACAGATTGTTAGAATCTTAACTTTCCGGTGAACCCATGTATCCTTCTGGGTTTCTTTTTGTTTATCTGCGCAAAGTACAGCAGTAACAGGTCATCAATAACTTCCATCTTCCATTTTCCTGTTAAGCTGCCAACACAGCTGCAGCACACAGTGTGGGGGCAGTGGGAGGTATTGTTCATTAATGTGGATGCTCACATCGTTATAGTTATTGTTACAGTTATTGTTCTTTGTGTGGACATCCCTTTTTATTTTTTTAAATAAAAAATAATGGCATGATACTAAATGAGCGTCGTTTGAATGCCACAGAGTATCTAAACAAGACAGTTATTGAACCGGTGCTTGTCTTTGATATCACAGTTGTTTTTTCACTTAGATACATTCAGCAGGAAAATTACTCATCAGCTCAAGATTGTTCCAGGAAAAGGATGTGATGCACACTGCATGAGTGCCTTATCACACAATCCGCAGGCATGACACTATGAGAGAGCATGGAACATGGATTCTTGCTCAATACCTGTATGGAAATCTTCAGGGTGTTTGGGAGTTAAAATCCAGCCTATTTACAGAGATAAATGTAGTGAATTAAAAAGTACAATATTTCCCTCTGTAAAGTCTAGATTTAAGGAAACACTGGAATAGGAGGACTAATACTCCATGTTATGTAAATGCTACCTGTTCTGTGTATCCGCAGAGCTACGAGGAGGAGCGGCGGCTACGTACAGAGCTGGAGTTGAGGAGCCAGAGACTGACCCTCGAACTGGCCGATACCAAACAGCAGATCCAAGAAGGAGACTATCGCAGAGACAACTACCCAAACATCAAACGGTGAGTGTCTGTGTGACTCCTCTGTACACCTTCTCATTGGATGAGGAGGGGTCAGCTCACTACTTTTGACCCTTTTGAAGACTACAGTACACTTTTGTAAGCTGTGTTCTTTAAAGGAGAAACCACCAGGCATGCCTGAGCTGGGTCCCAGCTAACATCTCTCGAACAATACATGGGAAAAATGTACTCACACCACAAGTTTCTCTCTCACATCTGAGAGCAACGTGCTACTTATGCTTGCATAATAGAGAGGAAACATAAATATTTTACTGCTGTAGCTCTTGATCCTTTGAGATATGGAGTTTATTTTGTGTTTTATGAATACCAGCTTTTTGTCATAGGACTATGTGATAACTGATGCATTGAGTAGCTTAATTAATTACCTGCGTGATTGTAATATAATATAGCAAACACTTTGGTTTATTTATTTTCTTGGGAATACTTTAATTGTTTTTTATGAATACAACAAAGGAAGGGGATGAATTCTAGTTTTCCCCTCTATTTAAATTCTGCATATGTACGTTCAAATGTATGATAACCTGTTTATAACACTGTGGTTTATAGTGAGCGTGACATCTTTGAAGCAGAACTAAAGGAGTTAACGAGAAGATTTGAGACACTAGACCTGACCCAGACTGCACTGACCAGAGAAAGGAACACACTCAGCAAAGAGGTGCTTCAACACACACACTTGCACCATATTTTTCCTTCATAACACTCATTGAAGTGTCTATTGCTGTACTGTGTAGTTTTTCATTTTTCTCTTCTTGCCCTCCAGGTGGCGACATTGCAGCAGTCAGTGACTCTCCTGCAGAAGGACAAGGAGTACCTACACAGGCAGAACATGGAGCTCAGTGTGCGCTGTGCACATGAAGAAGACCGGCTGGAGAGGCTGCAGGTCCATACAGTTGATCAGCAAGGAGGCTCATTTAATAAAAAAGGCATTCAGTAATTCAGATCTCTAACATGCTTCTTGTTTCTGTGCCTCAGGTACAGTTAGAAGACACTAAGAAGGCTAGAGAGGACGCCTACGAAAAATATGTTGCATCCAGGTTAGCCTCTGCTTTTTTACACCAGTTAGCAGCAGCCAATATTTTCACATTTTGTCGTTGTTTGTTCCATCTGCCAAAATTCTGTTATCGCATGTTTTTCTTAAATCGTCTTTCCACTCCAGAGACCACTATAAGTCAGAGTACGAGACCAAGTTGAGAGAGGAGTTGGAGAACATCCGGCTGAAAACCAGTCAGGAGATAGACAACCTGCAGAGAACCTCCAGGGAGATGTATGAAAGAGAGAACAGGTATCAGTCTTTTTTTTATATTTAACTCTTTAAAAACTGTGTGTTGGTAAAACCTATAAACTAATATCAGGGGCGCTATTCTAACCAGAGGAAGTCACATACGTTGTTAACGCGCAATATCAATTATTATTTAGCTAACTAATTCTAAAGAGAGGAAGAGTTATCGCCACAGATACTTCACAGCAGCATTAAAATAAAGGGAAATACCAACATAACCTGTTCTGCTATACAACATAACAGGACATGCTGATTCCTTTGTGTATGTGTTTTACTGTATGTTTGTTTGACCAGGAACTTGCGTGAGGCCAGAGACAATGCGGTGCTGGAGAAGGACAGAGCAGTGGCTGCTGAGAGAGACACTCAATCCAGATATGACCAAATGCTGGAACAGTGAGTTTTAACCATCCGGCACACACATAAAGAAACAGGCGTCCATCCACCATACGTTTAGCCTTTTCTGCTTTTTCTTCTACGATGACAACTCAAAGTGGGAGCCAGTAAAACATAAATACTATTAAAGCTGCTTTTGTGGTGACGTCACTGTACAGTTATACACATATAAAATCTTTAATAATGTTCTAGCTCTTGTTCCTCTCAGTATTCAACACTTCTCAAGAAGCATTGTGTCATCAGTGGTGTACGATATGATGTAACATTTTAGCAAACATTCCCATAGCTCCAGTGGCCCTTCTAGGAGTTTAGGAGTACTCTGCTACTCTCTGCAACTAACTGTCGCACTTAAATGTTGGTTACTTCCTGGAAGCTCTTGGCAATGCGTTGTATATCAGGGAAAGTTAAAGAACTTAACCTGAGGGCAATTGTTCAACTTCGAAGAGAACATGGGCCAGTCGGTACACTTTTGTTTTCAAGATTTACCACATTTTTAACATATTTTGAATTATTCTTCGTCCAATCAGCGTGTTTTGTGTGGGGGGCCTCGGTCAATAAAGCAGGAATCATTGCTGTGCTTATTAGTTACTTATTTCTGTGTGTTATTATATTATTATGTCAGCTTGAAATACTCAGTATTTCCCTGAAAGCTGTAAGCTTGTTGTTGCTCTGATGCCGATGTGTGAGACAGCAGAAGTCTGTTTAGTAGCGCATGTTGTGGGTGCGGCAGGATTTAGGTGGCTGTGGTCTCTTACCAAAGGTCACATGAAGGCTTTGCTGTAAAGTCAGAGTTCACTGAAGGTCAGTTTAGTACCAACTGGTATCACTGGCCTGGCTGGCTGCCACTTTGGGGTGAAATACTTTTTTTGTTCTTGACAAAAGTGAGTTTTTGTGGTATCTAATGTTTGGCCTTCTTAGAGGGTTTTTATCTGATTTTGTTAGGGCTTCAGCTTTTTTACACTTGAAGCTTCTGTTAGGATTTTCAAATAAGCTTTGGATGTCTGTCATGTCTTACTTTAATGAATATAACTCGTCAGTCAGTAGCTGGCTAATCTAATGAGGTCGTATAGTAATGATGAAATGCAGATACATATTTGTGGTTATATAAATGTAATTTATGGTGCTGGTAGATTGCTGCTAGGCCGCCCTGTTAATACAGGTGCGTTTCACCCTTTGTGTACGGTAAGGGGGAGCAAACAGTTTTTTGACCACAGTGAAAATTTAGTTTTTGGAAGGCTCAACACCAGCAAATATGGATTGAAGGAGATTATTTCGTCAGATAAAAACATGTTGTTAATTTTGGAAATGATTACGTATTATCTTTTATCAATACATTTTGACTTTTGGACTTTGACGACGGTAGTTATTGGAAATGTTTGGATCACACTAGTGTAAAAACAATCCTACTTTTACAAATAGTATAATAAAGATAATATTAGTGTAGCCTTACAGTTATATTCAACTGTGCAGAAATACCAGGTTTAAATAGAATGTTTGAACGTTATGAATGAAGCTTCAAACTTTTCCGTACTGCCCTGGATTTTGTATAACATATTCAAATTTAATGTTGCTTTTTAGCCATTTCTCACTTCCAAACTTACTTTTAGTGAGTTTTTAGTCCCTACCGTATCTCTCCTCCAGGCAACAAATGCCCATCTCAGTGTAGCCTCGAAAGGTGCCTCTGGGTCATGCCCTTGTAGGAAGTTTCAAATCTTACATGAAAATTGCAACAGATATATTGTGAGCCCTGCTGCACACACACATGCACACAGATAGTTTAAGCCTTTTTTTTCTTATTTGAGGAGGACTTTCAGTCAGTTATCCGGTTTTAGTGCTATATATTTGCTGCGTACATACATGTTTGTCTTATATGAACAGATGATGGGTATTTGCGTCCGATTTTTCTTGTCACACACACATTTGTGTGTCTTAATTTAAATTGTTTTAATACTTGTTATTTTTTTTATTTTAACTGAGTTTTACAGTATAGTATCTGCCACAAACAGACAGTGACACAGACACAAACAGCAGCAGCAGCAGCAGCAGCAGTAGTTGTGTCCCTGTCCTGGGTTACTACTACATGCCAGTCATTCCTCTAGATCCAAACCACCAGCTGTTGGTCTTTCCATACACACACATACACTTCACTCTCCCTTGCGCTCTCTCTCTCTCTGCTGCGATCACATTCCCTCTCTGTGTTGCATCGCAAGCCAGCAATGACAGATGCTAGCCACAAGCCCTTAACCCCTAACCCCACGCATGCCCCTATTTTTGGGGCAAAGAATGAGGCGGACAAGCTTGAAATGGCGTCGGATGATTGTAGCATAGAGGGGCCAGCTTGAATCTCAGCGCTCTATATCACAATGATGGCTAACAGGCTGGCTACGGCGATCAACATGTCCAAAACAAATACATGGTTTTAAGTACAATTTTCCATTTTGACCTCTCTAGCAGGTCTAAATGTGTTGTAGTAAAAATGCCTTGGGGAGCCCCCATATCATGTGCTCTTACTTACTGTAGCTGTAAATATTGCCGTCAAAAATTGGCAACTGGAAGGACAGAGAAAGACTACTACTAATACACGAGAAAAGTAAGTTTAATTTTTTAAGGTACATTTTGTGTCTTTGCATCTAGATGGCAGCCGCCAGTAATAAAAGAAGCCATAAAATGACAACCGAGTGTACATGTCTGTCACTGTGAGCACACAGCTCAGGCCTGCTCTCGATGGATGATGAAATTCTATCAGGTCAGCTGTAATCGAGAGTTATTAATATTATCCAACCAACCTCCATGGTTTAATAAAGTGTGTGTGTTTTTTGTGTGTGTGTGTGTGTGTGTGTGTGTGTGTGTGTGTGTGTGTGTGTGTGTGTGTGTGTGTGTGTGTGCGTGCTTGAAAGCTGCCTGAAGAATAGCACTGGGCTAAAAAATTTCAGATTTTTCAATTAATCAATTAATTGTTTTGTCTATAATGAAAAATTACCATCATAATTTCCCAAAGCGTAAAGCGATATCTCTGAGTTTGCACTTATGTCACAAGGCTTTGACTTAATGCAGAACTGTATCACCTGAAAACAAATTCTGTCTTCTTTCTAATTACTAAGCACTTAAGTAGGAACACTTTTCTCTGGCTGCCAACGAGAATCATGAAAGATCAAACAAGATCAAACATTGCTGCGAGCACCACTGAGAAATACTCTCCTGTAACCAAATGATTTAAGACTTGGCTTTCCTGCTTGGTGGCTTACTATAACACTGTAGTCGGCAAGCTGTTGCAAGTGGTGCTGCCATGCACTAACATTAAAAAAATGTTCATTGCGTGAGGCACAGCAAACAGTTACTTCCTTGCCAATTTCCAAACAAACATGCTGTTAGCATGTGTAATTGTATCTATATAAAGGAAGACATTGCAACACTTGTGTGAAACCACCAGGCATGCCTGAGCTCCACCGAGGGCCCAGAGCTGAGTTTACCCTCTGTGTGAGATGCAGCTGCTTTATTATTTAGACATGTCCACATAACCTGTCTACCCCAAAACACATTATCTATTTTTTTTCAACACACCTACTCACATTCATATTTAGTGAGGTGTTTGCTTGTTTCCGTCAACGCAGGTTTCGTCAGCTCCAGCTGGGTACTGACAGCCGGGTAGCAGAACTGTCCAACCAGGCCAAGCTGCATGCCTTCGAAGCTGAGCGTGCTCAGATGGTGAAGGAAGAGACAGCTAAGGCCCTGGCCCAGTGTCAGGTGGAGTGTGAGAAACAACAGAAAAAACTGGAGGTATTCAAATCATAAAGACAAAAAGGAGAAAATGTTTTACTTGTTGCATTACATAAGTGTACCCAGTCGCTAGTCTATCGTAGTCTCTCATGATTTGATTTCAGCCAATTAATGTTTCTCCTTGGTTTGAAGTTATTGTTTAATAGGTATGAAATAAAAAGCAATAACTTGTGAAATAACACAATTTAGGTGCACATGCCATTAATAGATTCAGAAATCCACCCTTTGCCTCATTATCCACATTTCCAACAGTAAGCAATAATCAGTATAACTGGGTAAGAAATAGAAAATCCCTTTCAACATTTGCATGTAATGTAGGTCTTCAGTCAACATGCAGATTTACAGATGGTCACCTTCAGTGGTTCTTAAATGAAAGTCATTAATAGTGTTAAAGCCAGGGAAGACTGTCGTAAAGTTGCTCACTTGCTGCAACCATCACATTATTTAACACAACCAAAAGTTCACAAATCATGCTTAAATTATTGCACTGTTCATTTAGGGAGGACTCCATCCACAAGATTAATGTTCCACTCTCAGGAATATGTCCATCCAGTCTTTGTATGTCAGTCCAGTGGCTCCATTCTTATCTGTTTCCATTGTAGCATGCCCATTTATACAAGACATTAATTGAGTGCAGATTGTTCTAGATGTCTGAATGCACTCACTGTAGCGGAGGTCCACCTCTTCACCTGTATGTAACCTTGTGCTGATGGCCAGGGGGACGTGCATGTTGTAATCATGTAATGCGTATAATTATGGGAGGAAGAAAATCTTTTCTCTTTTTAAAAGCACAGTGAATGAAAAGCTAGTTTGTTGTTTAGCTGTTTGGTCCAGTTCTTTTATAATAGTGAGGTTTAGAGCCAGTTTGGGGTAAAAGTCCTTTAGAAATGTCTCTTTGTGGATGTTTTTGTCTATGCTTATAAATGTGTTACAGTAAATGTGGGAAAATTAAAGGTAATGGTAAAAGTAAAATAAACTACAATAATGTGTCTATAATTTTCTTAACAGCTCTGAAAGACTAACAATTTAGTTTGGGATTCATTTCTAGCTTGAATTAACCAGAAATACATTTTAATTATACAAATTGCCATAAAACATCGCAAACATTTTATTTAATTTTAGCTGATAAATAGTGCTTCAGTATTGTTTCAACAATGTTCTTTCCTTTTTGTTTCTAAAATACAACACAATTTGAAGCTTGCAACATGTGCAAAAATAGTTAGAATAAAAAAAGAATAAAAATAATAGAAATAAAAACAAATTTGCCTTAATACTGCAAAAATAAATAGTAAATGTATTGATATAATATATATTGAATAATAAGGAAGAAATACACCACCAGTCTGAAGAAATTATTCCATTATCTGCTATTTTAATTACACTGACAGAATGTAACATTTACATTAACAATATTATTTAGGTAGATAATTGTGTTTCAAAGGAAATTAGAGAAAACAATGCTGAAAGTTACCTAATTAGCTTTTATCTCCCCCTGCTCCTCTCATGCTTCTATCTTTCTCTCTCTCCTCCCCTCCTCTGCCTCAGCTCCTGACCCAGGAGTTTTACAGGCTGCAGACGTTATCAGAGAAGCGGTCGGCGGAGCTGCAAGCTCAGAATGCCGAGCAAGCGTCTCGGCTGGAGACGTATGAAAAGCTCGAGCAAGAGTTGGACCAAGTCACCATGCAGGCTGCCGAAAGTACAAACATAGCACTGGCTCTGTAGTACCCATTTCATTGCTCACATTACTTTGAATTCGGAAAGAGAACAAACAAACAAGCACTGATTCCTTCAGATGTCTTGGTCTGGTATCAGAGTGAAGATGTAGGAAACAGTTACGTAAAAATCTGTAATTGCTATTGTAACAGCCTTGTAACAGTGGGACAGGAGTTTAAGACAATGGAAAGGTGTTGTGTAGAAAAAACAGGATTTTACTGCATGCTTATCTGGCAACTATACAACATCCCACAACTATACATTGCTATGCCATAATGGTCCTGGAAAGGTATAGACGGTGTTTGTGTTTCTTTCTGTTGCCAGTTGAGAATGAAGAGGAGGCAGAGAGAGTTCTGTTCTCATACGGCTATGGAGCCAATGTCCCCACAACGGCTAAAAGAAGACTAAAACAAAGGTACAGTGCATGATACACTTCACATTTCAGTGACAGTGCACATTGTGAGAGATGTCACTAAACAAAAACTGAATTTGCTGACACTGCTACTGTGTGTCCTTTTTCTTAAAAATAGTGTAAGAAACCAGCATGCTAATATAGTGTGGGCTAAACTAGTATGTTGGTATACAGTATTCGTCTAAATATATATTATTTACATTCAACATTTCTCATTAAAAATGCATTTTGTGTATCTATAAGGCATAACAAAAATTATGAATGTAGGTTCTACCTAATAAACATTTGTAACGCCCTTTTTGAAGGTTTTGAAACATGCATTGCTAAAGTTATGATTCTTCAGATTTTCATGAAATCAGATCCCTATTTTGATACTAATTTTGGCCGCCATAGGCATCCAATATATTTACATAATAGTTATTTATTATGATAACTTAGCTGCCTATATAGTAGTTTGTATTGGTAGTGGCAGAGTGTGCCATTATCATTTCCTTTTATTAGTGAATTTGTAACTTCATCAGGTGTAGATATGCATTACCGCCCTCTGCAGGTGGATGAAGTTATGTGCAGTGTTGTGTGTATTCAGCTTGTGTTGTGGTTATTGTGTGTCTCTGTACAAAACTTTAAAAAACCTTTTATAAAAGCAAAGTGCATCACTATCAAACACCTCTTCTTCTTTGATACTTCCACTAGAAGTCATCAAAGTGAAAACATTTCAAAATCCTTTACACAGTGGCTTTAAAGTACTTTCTCAAAACAGGAACACAATTACTTGACTTTAGTTCTTTACACAATCTTTGATTGCATGCACACCCAAAAACTTAAATTGATGCCAACTGTTGGTTTCAGTGAGTTCAGTCAAGTGTAGGTGAAACAACATGCACAAAGTACACACTAGTGTAAACTTGTTGGTGTTGTCATGTTTTGGAATTTCCAAAACTGTGTTTGTTTTTATGTGGCTGTCGGGCAGCGTTCACCTGGCCCGCAGGGTGCTGCAGCTCGAGAGGCAGAACACGTCACTGAGGAGAGAGCTGGAGAGAGACAAGTCACAGACAGGACAGATATCTGAGGAGGTAAACGCATGCAAACATACACACACACACACACACACACACACACACACACACAGCTTTCAGATGTGTGCCTGCCCGAGGAACATCATGGTCAGCAAGTCAGTACCTGCAACACACTATTTCTCACCATCACAAATTCTCATATTATGGTTACTCCACAGGTTCTATCAAAGTCATAATGATTTATTTCCACTGGCTTTTGCCTCTTATTATGCAATAACAGGGTCTTAGTTTTCTGTGTTAGGTCGGCAGCTCCTCTCTCATCACCCACCATTTACCTTCTCACACTATTGCATGACACTCTGCTGTTAAAGTCAATGGCGAGAGCACATCAAAACTCTGCAGCTGCGGCGTCAAACCACATTTGAGGTTGTCTTTTTCTTTCCTTTAGAAAAAAATTACCAAAAATAATTGAGCTGTTTGTGAGGCACCACTAATATCATCAATATACACTTCAGGACTCATTGATGAAAGCCTATTTCTTCCTGAAAGTTTTGTCCCGTAAAATCTCTTGAGTGTACATTTAAAGCCATAGTGTACATTTAAAGCCATTTCAGGAAAATGACAGGTTGTTTGAGAGCAGACACAGCAGACCTTAAATGAGAAGAACTAGTACCTGTCACACTTGTTGACACAGCGGGAGATGGTGTCAAAAACCGTGACAACCACGCTCTTCACTTTCCCAACAACTCACCACACCAATCATTTAGGCTTTTGTTGTGTTTGGCACACCATGTGCATGTGTGTGCAACGCTGAGACTTTAATTTTGGGTGTGTGTGTATTTAGTCTGTGTGACTGTGTGTGAAGTCACATGTCTTCTACTCGTGCTCTGAGGCTAAAAAATCCAGTAAGGTTTTAAACTATGAGAATGACAGCACAGGCAGCCAGCATGCTTGCTTTTTTCCCCCCTCACTCCTCATTAGAATCACATTGAGAAGAGAGATTGTGCAAGCCGGCTCTAGCAGATTTGAAACTAAATAAGCCAGCTATTCAACTGTCAGCTGTGACTGACTGGCACTTGTCTGGAATACCTCATAATTCATTGTGTATGAAAGGAAAGGGTAAAAGATTAAACATTTTAGTCACTAGAAAGAGCAAGGGTGTTAACCACTTAAACACCCACACAGATGCCCTGACTAACTTACTATTGTCCTTACCCTCCCACCCAGTCCTACTCACTGCTGGCTGTAAAAGTGGTTTAATGAGTAACACCCTAACTTGTTGTTAGATTAAGCATGATACTGACTGAGAAATAGTGTGTAGGTTATAGTAAATGCCGACTCTTATGTGAGGGATCATCAAAATATTATAAAGGTGCTTTCCTGGCAGTGATTGCAAGAGGTTGTTAAGATTGTGAATTTTCATTGCATTTCCACTTTTTGTCTTTATCTTAATTAATAAAAAGGATACAACTTCATAAAAAGTCACATTTATAGGCACTCAAGCCACCCCTGATGGCATCAGAGATAAGATTAAATCTTGGGTATGGCCGCTCTTTCATGAGTCATTCACAAATATTGAGACAACTGCACTATTTCATAATATTAACCACATGCAAAGTCAGTTTAAAGTAGAAATACTCCTTAGCATTTACCAGTGAATGTTAAAGTCATGTTCAGCATAACGAACATCATGGTGGCAGACTTTCAGCTCTTGCTGTTGCGTCACACCATCCACAGTTTGGGGAGGCGTATAATCCCAGTGAAACCATGTCGGCCCGAGTCTCAGTGAACTTTCTCAGGGTTATTGAGCAGGGATTGTTTAGGAACACAAGATGACTCTGACATTGTGTTGGTGAAATATTCTTTCTTTAATTGATCAAGTATAAACATATGTGTGTTGCTCCTCAGTTGCTGGCAGCCAACCAACTCTTACAGCAGACGCAGCAGCCCTATAGCTACCTGATCGAGACGGTGAGACAAAGGGATGCACAGATCGGTGCGATGAAGGAGCGTATCACCTCACTTGAGGACGATGTCAGGTACACGTACAGAACACACAATCACGGTGGAGAATGTTAGCCATTAGGTCTTCTGTATCGCTTGCCAAACTCCGTCTGTTAGTTTAATGGGTTTAATTTTAGGTCTTGTAATTCACTCATCATGGCAGAAGGCCATACCTCCCTGCCCTTGGGCGTCTCCCTTTGTCTTCTTCTGTCCTTCTCACACCTAGCTAATTTTTTCTTTGTGCAAACTTCCATGTGTGCGTGAGTTTGTCCGTGCCCAGTAAGTGAGTGCTTCACACTTACAGCTGCCTGGCACTGACCTAAACCCCCTTCGTCTTCCTCTGTATTTTAAGAAATATGCAAACTGACAGAGTGCAGGTTTTCTCTTGCTGCTCACTGTCGCTTAGCACTCACCTGGGGCAAGCCGGAGAGCAAAAGAAATCCACTCAAGCTTCTCAAACCTCCCCATCTGACAGATATTTAAGATTTCCTGTGGCTATGCAATGCTATCTGTTAAACAGCAGAGAGAAAGCTCACAGGAGATTCTCAGTTTATGTACTACCAGTCTCTCTGTCTACGGTATTAATTGTATTCACACATTGGCTAACAACAGTGTATCAGGCTATAAGACTCATACATTTCATTTTTTAGTGTTGTGAAGCTACCAAGCTGTTGTTTCAAGATTTGCAAGATGATTTGCTTTAAAGCAACCCCTTTACAAGCTCCTGCTTGTATTTTCCAGCCTGAGGAAAGAACACTTGGACAGTAATGTAGAGAGCTTGAGTTTTTCTCACAAGATATAAGGCAATTGATTATTTTATTTTATTAGTACATTCTAGAAATTCAAGTTAAGTTGGTTCAAGTTCAGTTAGTTTGTTTGGCTGATGGTGGTTTAATACCAGTGATTTATACTCAGTGATAGTAAACCTGCCATGAAGATTCATTGATTTGATTTATAGTCCAGCATTTTGCTTGTTTTTCTCGCCCCCCCCCCCCCCCCTTCACACAGATGAAGCAACATCCAAATAATAAACACAACACCTTCACATCCGATCTGTGTTGACCCTAACTTGACCCCACCCTAAATCAAAATAAAACACATTTTAACTAACAATGGACATCTACTGTATAGAGTGAATGATACTATTTCTATTTCTCCCGCCTTAAAGAATCACATAAACCATTGATCAGTGATTCACAGGACTGACTTGTTTCATATGATCGTATAAATAACTAGAATATTGAATATTGAATTCATAGCTTAAGATCTGATCTTGAGCCTGTTTTTGTGTGTAACCCCAGTTCTCTGAGGAAAGAACGGACTGCTCTACAGCAGGTGAAAAACAACATGGCCGCTGATCTGGAGAGACTCCTCAACCATCGAGAGGTACACATCCTAATGACGTTTGTTGTTTGTTATGTTAGCTATTTGTGATGTTTTAGTTGGGACAACTGCACTCAGTGTATTCCATTCTGTTCCAGTATATTGGGCTGTCTCAAAATGGTGAGAAACAGGAATTTCCAGAAAATAGAGATCTGTTATTACAACCACCTTGTCTCAGCACACAGCCATTGTCTGCGTTTGACGTTAAACATTACAGCTGTTGGTGCATTAACTGCTAACCTGTGTGTTAACCTGTGCTTCTGTGGAAACACACAAATCCAATGCTACTTTTCAAACTGTAGCAAAATGTGAAAATCTTTTTTATTATGGCTGCAACTAAAAATAATTTTCATTAATTTTTGCATTACAATTTCCTAGAGACCATCATCAAATGTCTTCTTTTGTCTGACCAACAGTCGGTTGTAGAACAAGGAAAAGCAATTCATTTTCACATTTGAGAACCTGGACCCATTAAATGTTATTTAAATGCTAATGGATTGATCAACTAAGCAACTAATTGCTATAGCTCTACTTTTACACTTAACCAGGCTGTTGGTATTCACACCAGACAAGTTATTGCACTTTCTTCAAGATTGTGTGTGTGTGTGCGTGTGCGTGTGCGTATGAGTGTGTCTCCCCCCCAAGCCAGCCGTTTGCTGTATGAAGTATTTGCCCTGTCATAGACAGCTGTTCCTCAGCCTGGCTGTTTGAGATGCCACCAGGGTGCTTGTGTGTTTGTGTGTGTGTGTTTTTGTGTACGTGTGTGTGCTCGTGCGTGTGTGTGACATGCCAGGGCTCATGTCCTCAGGGGTGATAAATAGAACCGTGAAATGGCCCAGAGTCCTCCCCTCTGCCCTGCTGCTACTCCTCCAGACCCTTGAGCTTGTTGAGCTTATTGCAAGGCGTCCCATAGTTGGACTTGAAGAGTTCAGCTGTGATGGCCTGTGGTTCAGGACAAACATGTCATCATAAGCAGCGAAAATTCGAAGAAATTCGAGAAAACATATATTTTTAAATCAAATGCTTCACTAAATGTTGAAAAATATGATCTTATAATTTTTGCAGTAAGGTATTTTAATCATATCTGGTGATTCAGTTCAGAGATTTCTAGCCTTTTGGACACTTCACTCCTACTTATTTCTCATAAAGACCCCTGTTTATTGTTTTACCCTCGTTTTCACATAGCTATTTTTATGAACCATGTGATTCTTCAGGAGTTGGCGGTGATGAAGCAGGTCCTGATCAGCATGCGGTCCGGACAGGGAGACTCTCTAAACCTGTTGGAAACCCATAAAACTGCTATCAGGACCTCCGGTGCGGGAAAACACCAGTCCAAACGTATCAACAAGACCACAGAAGAAGAGTCGCCAAACAAACCCAAGCCCACTGTGTTTGTAAGTGTCTGACTTGGCAACACCCTTGTATGAGTCACACCACCATAACCTGCTTAGACAGAAGTTCAGACAAAGGAGCACCAGAGGTTGAAAGGAAATGATGAATAGCTTTTTTGACATTTGATTTCATTTTAGCTTTTCACTGTGGTTAGGGGAGTAAAGATATGCTGTAGTACTTTATCCTTGAGTCATGAGAAAGTCAAGTAGATGAGAATACCATAACAATCCAAACAAGAGCAGCTATGCACTTCCTACTTTCCTAATCATCGTTTTTCCTCTCTGCCTCTTTCTTTTGCAGACCAATAAAGAAGTTCCTGATTGGTACCAAAGGCTGAAGCAGAAACCCAAATGAACAGTAATTTCTGTTCCTACTGGTGCTATTAATTTGTCACTCAGAGCTTTAACAATTGTATGTTTTATTTAGGCGTTTGTATTTTAAAATAGTAAATTAAGCTTCTTTTAAAATTTCAACAACTTTTGAAATACAAAAGCACAAAGTTACTGGTGTCTGAGTGTTTTGTTGTTCTCATCCATGGTTACATATTGTTCAGACTGGATAAATTCCCTGCGTACTGGTCCAAAACCAGAAGTATTACCTTCCACGGGGTAAACATTCCTAGCTAACTGACTGCCCAAAAATTCCTCTTTCTTGGCAGTGGTCAATTTTATTAGGTCTGTCTATCATTATTTCCTCATCTTTTCCAGGTTTGCAGATACGGTCACTACAGACAAACACCATTGCCTCTGATTTGCCCGAGCTGAGGCTCCTTTGGCTTTAAATATAGACATAGCAGGCATACCGTTATCATTTCAGACCATGTTCTTATCGGTGTCATATTAAACTCAACCAGAGGACTGCTTTATATTTTGTTTGTCACATTTCATCTTGCTTTTTCTAAGTGAGCCTACAAAACTTCACAATACATCACTTTCCTTTCCTGGTGTGTAAGATTTCTTGAACAAACCGCAATGTGCAATATTTTAGACCCCCTTTTGTTCTGAGTTACCATAGCACAAGTTTATTTTCCATAATAATGACATGACTGGAATTCATAATGTGGAGAAAACACCACTGTGCGATTTTAAACATCGTCTGGCTCACAATACATGGAAGTCCTGTTAACTTAAATGATTTAAAATCCCTTACTTATTGTCACATATCGTAAATCAAAAATTTAGCATATGAAGTTCACCACTAGTACTAAACCTGTAAAAACTCGAAAGTTTGAAAAAATAAATAAATGTCAGACTTAAAATTTGTAAGCCTACATTACAAACTGGGGGTTTGGAAGAAGTGGGCCTTTTTTTTGTGAGTCTAATTAGAGACTTGTATTATGGGAAATGTAGGATCCAGTGTTTTTTGGATCTTGACCGACATTAGGGACAGAAAAGTCTGGATATCTCAGCTTTGGCTGCTCTGATGTTGGCCATTTTTGTTTTCTCGTTTGAGACCAAAAGCTTAAAGCTGCAGCACATAAAAAAATATTTAGAAGTTTAATTTATATTTTAATTTATAAATAACTTTTTTTCATATTTCCTGTAACTTTCATTGTATCCTGACAGTACTACATGAGAAAGACAATCTGTGAAAAATGTTGCAACTTCCTGCCGCTCCTAATGGCATTTACACCTGATGGTCTGATGAAAACAACCAGTCAGAGCCAAGAAACATGGTCATTGTTAAATCTTACTCCCAGGTCCTCAAATACCAACACTGGGATCCTGGGAAAGAGACTCAGCAATCAGCTATCTTTTTTTTTCCTCACAGATAATCTGTCTCAGTCGGGATATAACGAAAGTTTCAGCAAATATAACAAAAAGTTATTTTTATAAAAGTTACCTGCAGCTTTAACGAAATTGACACAAATTTGCGGAATATGCCTTTAAGGGTTTGCAGTAGGCTATATGTAGGGAAATTGTGTATATTAATATAACTTATTAATACAGTAAAAATACGAATATTTCCTATATAATATTTCATATAAAATCTTGAACCCATCCCATATTTATCCATTTTCAAATAAGCTTTAAAAATGCTGCGTGAGGTTGGTACGTGACTTTAACCTTCACTGCCTGTCTATTGATGCCTGTGCACTTTACGACAGTGTTGTTCGTGCATTCAGATAGAGCGTAGGGCGGTGGCCAGTGAATGAATGATCAAAGCCTTTTTAAAGGTTTGGTGGGCGGTGCATGCGCTGTATTTACTCTGAGCTGCTCCGCCCTACACGGGAGATAGAAAACTGTCCGTGGGCCGGTGGAGGGATGAAACAAGTGGAAGGAGATGTAGCAGACGGGCGCACATTAATAACCCCTACCACACGCACTACACCTCGTCGGCTCCACTCCTTTCTTTCCCAGTGCGCGGTAGCATCCATCCTCCCTCATTTTGCATAACAGGACGAGCGATCGTTTGCGGTGCTGCGTCGGAGCTTCATGGCCGCGACACTCACGATGAGCGGCGGCGGGCAGGAGGATCCCTTCTATCCGCTGCAGAAGGCGACCCTGCCCGCTGGATTCCCTCTGGAGGACTCGGCGTTGTTCGGCTTGGATTGCAAGATCACAGACAAGGCTGGACAGAACGACTACACTCAGGTAAACCGCTTTAACACATTAGTGATGTATTTCATTGAATGGGCGTGGCAGATTGGTTGTAGATCCAGGTTGTGGTTGTTGTTGTTTTTTTTGTTGTTGTTGTTGTTTTTTATTGCTGGCCTCCAAATTTCAATCGGCCTCGCTGCGTGATGTTAACCATCACTTTGTTTTGCACTATTTGCACAAATAAGCGAGCAGGCTGCGGTCAGCTGGACGTGATAACCGAGCTGCTCCGCCTGCAAACGCATTCACCGCATGTTTTCTATGCCAGCCAGTTGGCCACCAGTTGTCGGTCCCTTCTTGGCGTCCCCCTCTCAACATCATACCACGCTGACAACAACTGACTCCAGCTTTCGGACAGAAAGGTCCCGGCAACTCTGCCCCCCCCAACCAGTCAGCAGGAAACTTGTGCACCAGAGGAGAGAGTTGTATATAACAGCTGGTAGGATCAGGAGCCTAGAAATAGCAGCCCATCCCCAGACTACTGCTGCTGCTGCTGCTGCAGCGGACAGGGAGGCATGGGTGTTTCCCCATTCCCTTTCATGTTGCTGTTTCATCCTGTGCTGCAGGGCTTCTGTAACTTTTATACCAGTTAGATTTTTCAGATTCACAGGAATTAGACTATGAGAAGCAGAATAGGAGCAAGGCTTAGTTTGACGTAAAGTTGTTAACCAGGGATGCCAGTTTGATCAGTGGTAGGCTGCTTCTTTAGTCTGTTGTCAATGCCTGCGGAAATCCCTAATGTTTTATATAAGAAATACTTAATCTGATTCTTTATTTGCAGCAGAACATGGCCTGATCCTCAACTGTTGGCCCCTCGGCTGCTGGGTTTTTGAGTTCAGCCTTGCAGGCAGAGAGGGAATGTGGCAACCGCCTATTGATGACTACTTGATAAATGTTTCAGCGGTGACTGTCCTATCAAACCTTTGTCTTCTCAAAATAGCGCCTCAAAATAGTTTCATGGTGGCTCATGAGAAGCACTTGCTGAAGTCACAACTGAACACATTTTCAATTAACCACAGTTAAATTTGAGACCATGTAATTTAATGTTTCTAAACCAGACTTTTTGTGTGTGTGTTTCTTTTTACCAACAGGCAAAGTGTGAGATGGACAGGTACCTCTCCCCTCAGTCTCTTCCCCTTCCACTTCCTGCAGACGGACAGCAGAAGTCACAGCGAGACGGAGCGTCTGTGGTGGAGCACTTCTTCACTGACGATCACACTGGGGCTCCCTACACCCTCAACATGAATCTTTACCTCCCCGACGCCGCCTACCTGAGGATGGGCTTGTGTCAGCAGGTGCGGCCCCCTCAGCACCAGAACCACGCAGGTCTTACCCAAGTAAAAACAGAATCTGCCTCCCCGTGTTTCTCCCCCAACCTACAGCTGCACTGCCCCAACACTACTCCCACAAGTAGCTGTGGCACATCTGGGCACGGCCCTGGCAGTGTTGCCATGGAAACCTCAGCCATAAACATGACGTTAACAGGGTTACCAGATTTCACCAGTGTTTTCAACCAGTCGGGAAGCAGCCGCGGTGGCGAGTCAGTGCCAGAAGTGTTTGTCAAACAGGAAATGTCATCACAGTTTGAGCAGCATGCCCTCCACCACCATGACGACGGCGGGTCACTGTTTCAGCTACTAAACTCTGGCTTGGACCATCACCATGGCAATGGTATGGAGTCGCAGCATCATCATCACCCTCATCATCATCATCATCAGCAGCAGCAGCAGCAGCAGCAGCAGATACAACACACTTCCACTTCCACAATCCACGCGCCTTTCCACGATTTGCCGATAGCTTCTTCTGCATCTCAACAAGAGCAGACTGTCAAGCCTGCCTACTGTGGCCTGGGTGGCGGGGCATACACACATCCTCACGCTCAGGCGCACCCTCATTTCCTCCAGCAGCAGGTGCCCTACCTGCCGCCCTCTCCGCCGAGCTCGGAGCCCGGCAGCCCTGACAGGCAGAAGGAGCTGCTCCACGCCATGTCCCCTCCTCCCTCATATGCAGCCACTATCGCCTCAAAGCTGGCGGGTAGCACCCCAGGGCTCGGCCCCGGCCCAGGACCGGGCGGCTTAGCCTTGCCCCTCACCACAGGTCCCACGCCAGTCCCAGGCCAAGCCACAGGCCTTCCCCAAACCCCTGCAGCGACCCCAACCCCAGCTCAGACCACTGTGCCTGCCCGCTACAACCGGAGGAACAACCCGGACTTGGAGAAACGACGGATCCACCACTGTGATTACCTAGGTAAGAAGAATACAAGTCTGCCACTGTATATGCATTCTGATTCTTGTCACTGTGTGTGTTTATTTTTACACTCTGCTGTGGTCAGGTGAATATGTGATCACTCACAAAGGTCAAATTTAAGAAAAACAGCTTTATTTTAAGACGCCTGTGAATTTTTTTTGCAAATTATATGTTGTGTTTTGAATGACTTTCCCAGGCCTGTAAGTCACAATATGTACTGCAGCCGCACCAGAACACAAGAGGAATTAAAATATTTTGGTAATGGAGACCATCAGTCACTACCTTTTTAATTATCTGGTTTAAAAACTACTTTGCATTTATTATCACACCCCAAACAGCTGAGGCAGTCTCAGCCCAGAGCTCTCACACATTGTTGTGGCTTTAAAAGTGTCGCTGGTATGATTGCGGAATGAACCTGTGTGTGTGTGTGTGTGTGTGTGTGTGTGTGTGTGTGTGTGTGTTTTTGTGTTAATTAGATTGATGTTTTCCTTAAGTCATTTGATCTTTTATCCCCACATACATTTGCATACAGTCACACACGATGTGCAGCTACTTGTAGGACATGTAATGTCAACTAGCCTGTGGCAGCGTGTAAAATAGGCTTAAGCAGAGCCTCCTGCAGCATGTTAGCACATGTCTAACTTCTGTAAAGTCAGATATCCACACAAGGACAGATCCACACTTTACCCATGTGTATATTAGTCACACTGCTGCAGCTGCTCGCTGTTTCATTTTTGCAGCATGTGAAATTTTAGCGTTTCCTTATTTAAAGTCATAATAAATATGAAGAATATCTTCCTAAATCATTCAAAATCCTAATGACCTTTTGACATTGTAATCTACAAATGTTGTGTAACATAATAACACAGGTTTTGTAATCCTGAACTTAAAATATCTTGACTCTGATGTCAAACAAACAGGTGTATATTCAACAAATCAGTATTCTGTGTGATCAGTAACATGCAGTTGAATGGATTTCTATGTAAATACACCAAATTTAAACAGTTTTAATACCAAATCAGAATGTATAGGCCACTTTTTTTTAACACAGTCACATGTACTTTGTGAAAATAAGAGTAACAAAAAACAAACATTTACTGTATCTCATTCCGAACAGCTTCTGTTCTTCATTAGTTCACATTTCTAGCATACCACAGCTCAGTTCACTGGTTAAATGCATATCTGACACATGAATTATTTGGATTAAGCCTTCTGTTTGTGTTTTTCTCCCTGTCTGTCGTCAGGCTGCAAGAAGGTCTACACCAAGTCGTCCCATCTGAAAGCCCACCTCAGGACTCACACGGGTAAGACATTCCTCTAATTAATGCAGCTTTTTTAAACAGTACCCGTCAAAAAAAAAAAAGTACGCTGCCCACGCGACTCTTATTTCGGTATCTACACTGGCACCATGTTGCTAGGCAGAGTGTTGTGTTCCTGGCATGTGTGTGTAAATGTATCCTACCCCATTCCCATCCTCTGCCCAATATACTATTCCATCAAAACAGGTGGAAGTGACACACTTCTGCCAGGGGGTGACTCTCATACTATGTGGTCAGCATTAGACGTTTGGTGCCATCTCTCTTAGGATCCCAGTGCCTGTTCAGACGTCAACATTTAATTGCTTTAATATGCTTTTTTTAAGACTTGTTGGGGTTATTTGCCTCTATAAATATATTCAAGATCTCTCTGTCAGATATGCAGTTATCTTAGATAATCTTTGTGCATGTCAGCGTCCATTTCCCTTTCCTTTTCATCTCTCTTTCAGTCTGTCTCCTTCTTTCACATTCTGATTTGAACTGTTAGTTTTGCGTGAGCAGAGTCAACAAACAAGCACTAAGGTGTTGGGCCCCACCTTACCCCAGCTAAGAAAACAAAGCTTTTGTTGATATCTACGCATTCCACACTCATCTGGATACACACAAACAAAACTTTTTTCTTGGCACTTTGCGATCCAGTGTCTGTTCCACTCATGAGTCTGAACTACTTGTTCAGAACATCCTTGTGGGTGTGCGTGCCTTGCATTTCAGTATTGGGAACATGACACGACAATTAGACCTGGCGTCGTTCATGCTGCAGGCTGATTGTGGTTATTGCAGTTATTACAGACCACAAGATGAGAACACGACACGTAAAGAGGGATGTAGCTCCATCTTCCATATCCTCTCTGCTTTTGTCAGTCACGCTTAGTTATTTTCTCCCCTTTTTTTCTGTCGCTTTCATTCATCTAATCACCGCCTTCTCTGCTTTATGCCATCCTCCCACCTTCAGCACCGCCCCCCCCACACTGTTATTTCTATCTTTGTCCGTTACTCATTCTACTTCTCTTATTCAGCTGCTTGAATGCACACTTACACACTCATACACACACACACACATACGTCCACACACACCTGTCAGTAATCTGTATGAGATGATTCCTAATGCGTTTGGGTCCCTGTGGGAGTTCCCACTCTAATCTCCATCAACATCCATTACCCTGATTGTTTGCGCGTGTGTATGTGTGTGTGAGTGTATTGTGAAAAGGGAACACTCCTCCCAGTTCACTTTTTTTTTTTTCTTTCTTTCTTGGTGTCTTTTCAATGTCTTTCCTGTGTAGTTGTGTTCAGTTTTAGGTGTGTGCCTCTAAGCTTAGTGATGCGCTGGTTAATTCTCAACAGGTTAACTGTGGCTGTTGTTTTAGCAACGCTGCAGAGCTTGCTTTGCCTGTTTTAAAGGGTGGGTTCACACAAATGAAAACTATACATATTGTTTTTACTTACCTCTAGTGGTATCCTGCATGCAGATAGTTTGTATTTGTCCGGGTTTTGAGATATGTCTGAAATCTCTGAGATTTCATCTTCCAGCCCAGTTTAATAAAGGATGTAATGTAATTCAGTACATAGAGATTTACTCAATTCTTCCATACAAGTCCTTCAAATTGAAACAGTACATAGAGAGGTCTGTGTACTACTACAGATAGTTTACATATTTCTCACCATGTTTTTTAACATTATAAATATGTAAATAGATGTTAAAGGACCAGTGTGTAGGATTTAGTGGAATTGTTGGGTCTCCCAGCTGAATATCCAGCACCCAGCTCTACATGGATGGATACCACTAGTTCTTTGTAATTTAGGTGAACAAACCCTTTAAGCCCCCCCCCTTTGGGATTGTAGGCGTTGGATTGTGCGGCTAACACAGAGCTGAGGTGAAGGAGACAGGTCATGCTAGTTTTAACAAAGTGCCTTCGGCTGCAGTTGAAAGATCACTGTAATGGCAGAGTGACAGAAACAAACTATATCCATCAAAGAAAAATGCACAGAGGCAAAGGCAGACAATACAGACGAGTCACCCGTGGGAAACTTGTGCAGTGTTAGTGTTTGGGTGCTTGATGAATGCCATTGACAACGCTATGACTGTGCTGTTGGACAACAGGACTTCTCAGTAAAACCTGTTTTCTCAGATCCTCCACCCAACTGAATCATGTAACTGAGGGAGTCAGTTATAATAATAATCAGGATAATCAGTAAATGAGTACTTACATCACATTTTGACACGTCTATGCTCTGTCTAAGATCATGTGATCGAGCAAGGAATGCTGCTCATTTCTGCAGTTTGCTCAGCTTTTCAGAGCTACACTCATTCAGACTTTTCTCCTTTTCTCCCGCCCTGCAGGTGAGAAACCGTACAAGTGTACGTGGGACAGCTGCGACTGGCGTTTCGCTCGTTCGGATGAGCTGACGCGTCATTACCGGAAGCACACGGGCGCCAAACCCTTCCAGTGCGCCGTCTGCTCGCGCTCCTTTTCCCGATCCGACCACCTTGCCCTGCACATGAAGAGACACCAGAACTAGCAGCATTTTACTCACACACACACACACACACACACACACACACACACACACACACACACAGACACATACATATACACACTACACATACACATACACAAGCACTATCTTGGCACACATAAAGCACTCTCTCCATCTCCCACAACTACATTGTTACAAGCTGGCTGATGCAGAGCGACGTTCACTGACACCACAGCTCCTCTTGGTGCTGATATCATGTGCTAAAACGGTATGATAGCCTAACACATGTGTTGCTCTTAACCCAGAGTGGGACAGTTTGGAGGTTGTATAGAAAGATAATGGCCAGAGGAAGTTTCTGGTCCCTTAACCTCCAAATATACTTGGTAGAGATTTCTGTGGACAAATACAATGCAGAAAAATAATGACAAAAAGAAAATGGTAGCTCCAAAATGTGTTTCCAGTCCATTTGAACTGGAAAGTGTGTGACTGGAAAGAAAGCACTTACCACTCAAAACTTGTACATCTTTTGTCTCTGTTCTAACATAGACCTGACTTCATACTTGTTTTATTTTATAAAGGAGAAGCTTTTGTTTGCAAAACTAGTCAAGCCAAATCTTTGTTTACTCCTTGGTTTGTTAGTTTGTTTATATAACTGGAAAATCCAGATTTAATTTTTTTTTTTTACCAAATCCTTCGGTTTGCACTAGAATCGGTAATCTAAGTCTGAGCCTTTTTTGGGCCCATGCATCTCATTCACCACTGGAACGATCACTATCACTACTGGACTGAATCTCTGTGAACGCCACACAAATCATTGCTGTTCAGATATTAAAAATTGAAGGCATTTATACTCTGGAGAGAGGGAAGATAGTGCAGGAAAAAATGAGGGAGGGGTGGAGATAGATAGAGATAGAATGATTTTTGATTTTAGAGAAGGGAGATCTGAAGACGACTGAGAAACGGAGGGAGGTGGATGGTTGCTAAAGAGCAGCAATTAGGCGATGTATTATTCATGTTGTCTTTCGATGGATCTCCAACCAGAGAAATGTAAGCAGAACCCTTAGATACGTCCTAGAATTCACTCAGTTAAAGCAGAATTTGACTGTATTTGATGCACGACCTTGAATGAAGCGTCAAATATACAAAATACAATTACTGTACATCTTTTCTCATCCAGCGTTTTACTTTTTTCAAATGTTTTAACCAAAGTGTCATCATCATCAGCACCTTATTAAGTGCCTCCTTCTCTGGTTTCTGTGTGTTTGTTCAGTGGTAGCAGAGCTGTGATCAATGTGGACAGTCCTTTTAAATACACATGGTGCTGTTTTTATTTCTTAATCTATTGGATCTTTAGACTCAGCTTGGGAAAAAAAAAAGCAAATTTGTTTTAAATTACAAGTATAACCCATCAATCATTGTAATTTAGCAGCTCGGCTCAGGCCACTTCACAGACATCCTGGAACGTTTTAATTAAAATGACAGTCCTTTCTCTGAGGGTACTCACTCTGTACACAACTAACATGCCACTCGGCTCTGTCAGTCAAGCAAACACGGATGCATGTTTTGTTAAAGGACAGATTCGCATTTTATCAATCTTCATATCTTTCTTAAAACAATACTCACACACCCATATGTACAGTCCAAAATTATTGGCTGCTGCAAGTGTTCCTCTCGTCCATACTGGCCATAAAGAGATCCCTGCTGAAAACATGTTCAGTGCAAGTGATAGGACACAAAATCAACAATGAAATAAAAAATGCACTGTGAAGTTCAGCTGGAGATAACTTGTTATGGACATATTTCAAAGTTAGTGTTATCAGGGCAAAATGTCCTCTTAAAAGACAATATATACGGATATTGTCCCCGGTAACTTGCATTGAATTCCCTTATCACAGACCGTATGGACAAGAGGAAAACCAAAAACTATTTTAATGTTCATATGGACATAAGAGTGTTGTTATAAGACAGAGACAGAAAAAATGGCAACCTGCCCTTTAATATACACTTGAATGTCCATGTTGATGGTGTGATTTAGCCTGCGCCTATAACTGTATTTGTTCATTCACTGCAGGTAGCATAAAGATAATATAGCACTGTAATGTATCATGGTAAATCTGACTATTTATTTGATTGTGTAGAAGTGGGGGTTGTATCAGATCAACCGTCTTTCTCCCCAGCAAAAATGCCTTAATGTAAATATATGCACTGTAAATAACTATGAATTTTTTTTTTCCTCTTTTGTTATTATTTTGTAAACAAAAGGGCAAAAAGAGGAAAATGCCCTGCATCCAAAAATATTTGAGCCTTTTTGTTTTTTCTTTGGTTTTGTTTTCTTGTCAAAGATATTTTGATGCCATTGTTTTATATATTGTCCTTCCAACAACTTATTTTGTAGATTTGTTTTCTTCCTAGGTAAACGTTCCAAAGACAAAAGTTGTTTTTCTTCAACTGAGTGAAGCTGATCCTAATAAAGTCAACTGACACTTTTACAGATGTGCTCTTGTGCTGAAATTAATGGGAAGATCTTTCTCCTTTTACCTGCTAACAATGACTAAATCATATGTATGCGGTCCATTTGTCTGTGAGGTTTATATTAAAGCAATTTTTTAGTTAGCCGTGGTCTGCAGATAGAGTGTGGTGTCTGTGGGACATTAAAACAAGCCTCGTCAAGACCCACATGAAACAAATGAGGCAAAACCACACTTAATCTTTCAAAATCCAAACATAGATTCTGTGGAAGTGCTGATCCTGCCGAGATCCGATGTACTTAAAAGTTCAGTTTCAGCAAGAGGAGATAAGAAGGGAAGATGTGGAGGAGAGGCGAAGCACTCTCGTCAGGGACCTACAAGTAACCTGCAGCACCCTTGCTGATCAACAAACAATAGTCCTTTGATGTCCCAGCGAGAGACAATGGACAAGAAAATAAATTTGACCACCACTCGGGGACCAGAGGGGAATCCCACTGCATTGAAATGGACGTACAAACACTTGGACTCACACACACACACACCATATGTTCTTGATTTAAGTCATAAATGTGACCCGGGGTCTCTGTTGTAATCTACCTCAGATGTCAGAAAAGAGGGAGGTGGAGGGGAGAGAGTGAAAGAAGTGAAATGCAGAACAATCTAAACAAAAGAATCTCTGGGGGGACTCAATCAACCACTTCCGTCCTCCTACATCTCCTCTCATTCTCCTCCTCCGCTCTTCTTATTTAATTTCATTTTCTCTCTCTCTCTCACTCACTCTCTTTGTCTTTCCATGCACCGTATCCCCCTCTCCTCCCCGGTGGAAAGTATTGTATGAAAGTCCAGGGGCGCTGCTCCATGGGTCAGAGTGGAGACTGTTCTCATAACCTGCTCCGCTCCTCATCTTTTCCCCTTCTTTAATCATCCACCTCGTCTCCCTGTAGTCCTCTCTGCTCCGTCTTCTCCTCCACCTAAAACTCGAGAGGAGAACTTTTAATTTCAACTTTCTTTCTTTTCTTATCTGGATTCTTTCTCCTGCCAAGTCTTCCAAAGTATACAGAGTATGTGAAAATGTAGACTCGCAGGTGTATATCTGAGTGTGTGAATATTAAAAAGTTAGGATGTTTCACACACACACACACACACACACACACACACACACACACACACACACACACACACACACACACACACACACACACTGTGGTGATGAGTGAGTGGGAGCTACCGATTCATGTTGTGGATCAACTAAATTAATGTCACACATCTGGAAGAAGGCTCCTGCCTGCTCCACCCTCTGCTGTGCTGCATTTGTGTGATTCCCAGTTTCGCTTTGTGTGTGTGTGTGTGTGTGTGTGTGTGTGTGTGTGTGTGTGTAGGTATAATGTTTCCAGTGCTCCTCTCTTGGAACGGACCACCCACTCAGAAGACCAATAGAAGGACCACGGGGAGCCCGGATAGACACACACACACACACACACACACACACACACACACATATGCAACTCCCTCCAAAGTCAACCCTTCCCAATATTCTCAGAATAGAACATGTTGTTATCAGAGATTGAAGAGATACCAGAACAGCTGACATGCTATCACAAAGTTAAAGATAATATCAGGAATCGAGGAGGATTTTATTCTGAGACGCTACGTTCATTTTTAAAAATGTTGCCTCAGGTGAACTGCTCAGTAGTTTAACATTTTTTAGAGGTTTAGAAATCAAATATCTTTGTAGCTTCCTCACAGCAGCTTTACCCGGCACCCTGAAAACCATCTGAACCACTCTCTGTGGGTAGAGCGGTTTGTCCGCTGTATTTGCTGGGTGGGCAGTTGGCCATATGTTGAAGTGTCCTTACGCACGACACTGAACCCCAAAATTGCTCCTGATGGTCAGCCCAGCGCCTTGCACGCTACCATCTGTATGTGTGTGAATTAGAGGCAAATAGTGAAGCACTTTGGATAAAAGCACTTCATAAATGCAGCCCATTTAGCTTCAATAAAAGATGAATTATTATTAAATTGGGCTACTGGTACCAGTTCCCCAGGTACCACAGAGGCCCCAGGATCACTTAGTTTGAGATTTGATTAATTGCACAATTGTTGCCAGTGTGCACCACTAAACCAAATATATAATAAAAAGATACAGGCCTTATGGTGGCTCCAGAATTTGTACCTAATCATAATCCTTTCTTTTAGATTGCCCCAGTGTCAGAACCTAGTTTTACTGTAACCTCTTAACAAGTAGCAGCCAGCCGTTGGACCAGTCATTATAAACTGATGCTGTGTGTGATTTCTAACCCACTTGACTTCAAACTTTAAACTCTAGTGGAAACCCCAAAGTGTTTATGGATACCAAATATGTCAGGATGAATTTTCAGTCTTAGGCTTAAATATTTTACTCAGTGTAAAACATTATATATATGAGACAGTCACACAGGGTGGGAAACATTAAAGGGGAAACAAAAGGAGAAAACTGTAGGTTAAGGAGAATTTTTTCTATTTCAGTTGATATTATGCTTACATGGTTCATATTTCCGACTATATTTGTGTTGCCATTACCACAAATTTACTGGCTGGTTGTATTCCAGCATTGGAGTCTTTCTTAGTTTGTGGGGCTCAGTCTAGGCAATCTAAAATGAAGCTGGCTTGTGTAGTCTTCCATGTTCTCAGTACCTGATGGGCACTTAAAAGCAATAGGATACATACCACACACAACATACAGAGAGTGGGAGGAATGTATCCTAGCTCCGGACCTCGCACATTACCACATTTCACCACTGATCAGAGGACAGAAAAACAACCCTTCTCAAACATTAAAACAATGTCAGATTGAACAATTACAATTCAGTATGAATGTCAGGTTATAAGAAGTGGCCCACAGTTAATTTTTGCCCTGGGTTGACGTACAGTAGCTCAGAAATGTGAGCTGGCTGTGCTTTAGCTGAAATACACTCTTAGCAAAGCAGTTTTTTTTTATGGCTGTAGTGATTCATCATTCATCATAATTTTTCATTTTGAAATTAAATACTGACCCAGCCAGCAAAATATTCCTAAGTAGTTTCAGCTGCTGCTCTAAAGGGTTAAGTCCTGATTTATTCATAATCACAAGTTGTTTTAGTAATTTAGTTTCAAATTCTTTGTCACTGCCTAACAGCATAACAACGGTGTATCAGCTGTCAAGGAGTTTTACCATCACTCTGCAGTGACTGATAAGAAAAATATGACAAATCCTTCAAATAATAAAGCAACCTAATAGTCTCTGATCAACACAGTTCCTGGTAAAGCACTAATCAGAAAACAGATTCTGGTAATAACTGAACCATTTAGTCCAACTCTTGCAGAAGTCTTCAGCCTTGAGCCACCCTAAGCTACAGTGTAATTATCCCTTGGGTAGGTTCCTCTGCATGTAAAATGAGTTCAAAGGACAAAATCATTAGGCTTCTCTCCCTATCAGGCAAACATCTTTGCACCTGCTAAACATTCAAGGGTGTCACCATTAATGGGCCTTCAGAGGATTCAACAAAACCCTTTTGCTTTCACACTTTAAGGGTGGAAATGTAAGCCTTTTTGTGAGTTCTTATCGTGATTTGTGAAAAGAGAAAAGGGCCTGCAGGCTATATATATCGTCCATGTATATACACTTAATCAAAGCTGTTTGCTCTCTGTTAACTCCTAGACTATCGGACTGTACTGAACGCCTCCCTGACCAAACAGCTAATAGTTTCCTCTTGTCTTCTCACATGGTTTATGGTTTCATAGATTAGAGGTGATGAAGCACATGTGGTTGCTGTCAGTTAGTCATACTATCTTATGAACTGGAAGCTCATAGGTTCAGGCCTACAAAATTGTCAGCTGGATTTGCTTCAACAACTTCCGCCCGTGGTTATGTGAGGCCTTTGCTCAATTTTAAAATTCCAAATCTAGACTGAAATGTAACCCTCAAAATGTAACAATTCTTTTTGATCAGAGGCTTTTTGGGGGTAATGAACCCTGTTTTTTGGAAGATTTGGCTCCTGTGATAATTTAAACAAGCAACATATGCATTGGAAAAGTTGTATTACAACATACGCAAGGTTCCTTGTTTCTTTATGACATAGTTCAGTTGTTTTTTCAAATATATTTTATAAATCACTTTCTTAATGTTCTGGTTTCTGGGGTTTAAGTACCCTAACTCTACAACATAGCAACAACAAATCGAAAACCACAGTTCAGGATTAAATATAAAAGCAGGATTTGTCTTGAAACCATCAATTATGCTTCTTTGGAGATCCATGCACATAGTAATTTGTCTCTAAAAAAGCTGTCTTGATTTAAAAGTGTTAAATAGTCAAATTGACCTTTCCTGAAAGTGTTCCCCCGCCCCAAAATGCAACATTATACCCATTTCATCTCCTCATCTGATTAATCAGTAACATGGCATCAGATATTGCAACGTGTAAAGCATCAAACATTTATAAATTGGAGGGTGTGAGGGTCAAAAAGACTTTCTGTTGACTGAGGGAAATTATATGCAGTAGACTTGTCACTCAGTATGATACTGATGACTTAAACCTGGGTCTTAAGCATCTGATTGGGCTGTCTAGTGTTATTGTTTCAGTTTAAGGAATCAATTTGTTCTGCTTCAATGTAAATCTTCATGGGTAAACCTTCTTGTCATAACAAGAACTCACAGTGCATACACTTAACACAATAGTGTCATTGTTAAGTTGTTGTTTTTTTTACTCCAAGATTTAAAGTCCCAAGGAGACAGTACTGTTGAGACTATCTCACATTTATAATTTGACGGATTTCTCTTGAAACATATTACTCACATGAATCAGGCATTATTCACAATTGCACACCGGAGAGATATCAGTGGGAAAACTGAGGTAGTTTTATGTCTTGGGAGAGGTGGAGGGTCAGGATGGTGATGTGATGGTTTTATTGCTGGGAGTTTTTAATTCTCAGCAGAAATGATCCATTGTTTTCAAGGAAGTAGAAAGTAATGACATTTTGGTATACAAAAATACAAGGAATTTAAAACTT